TGAGTTTATTAATATTTTAGTCTGTAATCCTGGGTGGGATGTTGTTCAAGGCAACAACGCCAAACAGATGGAGGAAACGATGGGGGGGGGGGCGTTGATGCATGAGAGCATAAAAAACAAGCTGTCATTTTCAGGCTTTAATAATGCAAAGGGGAAATTTTAAATATAATTATTTAATTTAACAGTAGTATTTTTTTATATAATTTTTACCTTGATCAAATATACTGAAAAGGTCTCTTAAACGTTATTATTTATAGTGCCTGCAGCATACCATGACATCCAAGATGATGACTGTTCTAACAGAATATAGACTGTACTTTAAAAATGCAGGTTTTAAGCTTTCTTTTTAAGATCTTTCATTTGTTTTTATCAACTTAATTTTCCTTCATTTTCACAGACTAAAATGAATTTAAATAAAGAAGATCAGACATACTACATTGGTGACTGGAAAACAATTCTCAGCTTTTAATTATGGCAAAGTCTTGAGAAAGGATTAACAGGTACTAATAATTGTCAAAATGATTAAACCGCCACCACTTAATAAGAGCCACCATGTAGTGATCTATAGAGAGATATTAACCAGTGTGTTTATTGTGAGGACTCACCAGGCTGTGCTCCTTCCCCCATCGTAGGAGCCATGATCGCTATCCAAGGTGCTGAAGCCTCTTTTTGTATCCACACTTCGCTGTCCCTTCCTCAATCTGCTGATGACCTGGTTTAGAATACTGCTATAAATCTGAGTTTGATTCTGCTTAGAAATCTAATTCAACAGCTTTAATAATGCAGTAGAAAATCTTGTTAATTTCCTGGGAAAAGGCTGCTCTGTTCACAAGCTTCTGCTTCTCTTACTCTTTGATGCGTTAGAGAGTCTCAGAGGCGGCAACACCCTGCACTCTCTCTCCTTCCGTTTCTCTTTGTCTTCTTGGTCTCTCTCCCATTTTCTGATAGCGAGCTCTCTCGACCCCTCCCATTCCCCGGCAAGGCTGAGCTCATCATTGCTGACGCAGTGGTGACGGAGGCTTGCTGAGAAATTAGGACCCCTGGTGAAGCAGCACAAAGAGCCTGCCAATGTCCTCATTGTGATTGATTTTGAGGAAATAAATGCTGTCAACCTCTTTCAGCATCCTTAGCTCTGTGTGTGTTTTTATGTCAAACAGTTTGTTTATGTTGCATGCTTTGATGGGCACTGATGGCAGATGTGTTAAATGAAATGAAATGCAAGTTCCTGCTGTGTGTGTAAATTATACAGAAGTTTAAAATGTTATTTAATTTGGATTCATCTTGTAGCAACATTGCATTCTTAATCAGAGCTCACATTTCCTCTAACATAGGTTAAAGGTACATGCCTTTATGTAGTTATGTTCAAACTATACACCATTTACAGTTTTAGTTTGATATTTCTCATTTCATGTCAATTCTGATTTACAAAGAATCCTGGATAGGTATTAAAATGTCTCCAGGAAAAACTGAGTGAAGGTTTACTTGCCTTCCAATGAACGCCTGTGCTGTGATTGACTAGCAGGTACAGGAAAACAAGGACCTCCGTGCACCAGCTGATCTATGTTTTATTTTTATATATATATATATATATATATATATATATATATATA